GTTACCGCGCTTAGCAGCGCCCAGACACGGACCACAGCTGCACACACCGAAAAAGCGCATACACTGACGGCCCAGCCAAACGCTTGCCTATCTCCGTGGGCAGGGTCGGGAATATTAACCCGATTCCCTTTCGCTCCGGGGGGCTGCCAGCAACACCACACAAACACACACAAGCAAGGCACCCCACGTCTCTGTACCGAGACACCGGATCGCTTAGGACCGCCTGACCCATGGCCAACTGCTGTTCCCATGGAACCCTTCTCCACCTCGGCCTTCAAGGTTCTCACTTGAATATTTGCTACTACCACCAAGATCTGCACCCGTGGCGGCTCCACCCAGACTCACGCCCGAGGCTTCCACGCTCACCACGGCGATCCTCCTACTCGCCACCGCCTCCTTGCCTGGATCATGACTTCAAGAGACAGCGACCGATTGTTGTTCACGCAACTGGCCATACGCTGCTCACACCAAACACACACAGAGCCAGCGATCCAGCTTGCGGTGACGGCCCGGTATAGGTCCGACGCTCCAGCGCCATCCATTTTCAGGGCTGGTCAATTCGGCAGGTGAGTTGTTACACACTCCTTAGCGGATGCCGACTTCCATGGCCACCGTCCTGCTGTCTATATTAACCAACACCTTTTGTGGTATCTCATGAGCGTCAGCGTTAGGCACCTTAACCGAGCGTTTGGTTCATCCCACAGCGCCAGTTCTGCTTACCAAAAATGGCCCACTTGGCACTCGCACATTCAGCGCCCGACTCCTATAAAGCGAGCCGGGCATCTCACCCATTTAAAGTTTGAGAATAGGTTGAGCTCGTTTCGAACCCAGTACCTCTAATCATTCGCTTTACCGGATAAAACTGATCATGCGAATGAGTGCCAGCTATCCTGAGGGAAACTTCGGAGGGAACCAGCTACTAGATGGTTCGATTAGTCTTTCGCCCCTATACTCGCGTTTGACGATCGATTTGCACGTCAGAATCGCTGCGGTCCTCCACCAGAGTTTCCTCTGGCTTCAACCTACGCAAGCATAGTTCACCATCTTTCGGGTCTTATCGTGCACGCTCTTGCTCCGCCCCGATGACGCGCCGGTTCCAACGCAGACCACACAAAACGATCCACGCCTTTCCAACGACCACATCATGGGACGGGCCGGTGATGCGGCCACTGCTCTTTTGCCTGGTGCTGCAGACCCACAAACACACACACAGCAAGCTGCGCGCGCCAGGGGAGGTGCGAGAAACAGTGGCATCTCACCACATCCCGAGAACAAGTCGAGACTTTACTTTCACTGCGCCTTTGGGTTTCGGTGGACCCATTGACTCGCGTGCATGATAAACTCCTTGGTCCGTGTTTCAAGACGGGTCGGGTAGCTCGTCTACCACAACACCACAGACTGTTTGGTCCACGCCGGCTCGCACAGGAGGCATCACACACAAATGCAGACCACCCAACACCAGACCACCGCCGGGCCCACTTTGCGCAGGCAACACGACGATCAGACCCAGCAATTGGCAGCCTACAGCAACACCCCACGCCCACATACAGTGTGCGCACGAGACGGAAACTAGAGACCGACAACTCTGGTGCCCTGCACAGTTATTCATACCACCATAGCCCACCAGGACACCCGCCGGCGACTGTACAACAACCGACAGGCAGACCCGTTGACGACCAGTGCTCGATAACACGTGTGCAAGCGAATGCCTACACGCGCCGCTCACTGAGTTCGCCTGTGATCGAAACTCAGCCGATGACCCCCCCACACCAAGACGACGAGGAGAGCCACCGACCAAATCCGACTTGACTATGGCAGACTGGCAGTTCCACCAGTCGTGGTGCTCACCAAATAGAGGAAGTGCATTGACCGGTCCATCCACACTGCGCAGACAGACAGAACAGCCGGCACCGGCAACCACCCGGAACACCGATCCTGCCCCCCAAGAAGAAAGGCAGGCCCACCATTTCGCAGTGGACTGTCCGTCCGACAGACACGCCAGGCGCGCATACACACCGATCAACTGAATCCTCTAGGCTTGCAGCTTGACGCCACCCGTTTACCTCTATGCGGTTTCACGTACTGTTTACTCTCTCTTCAAAGTACTTTTCAACTTTCCCTCACGGTACTTGTTCGCTATCGGACTCGTGCTTGTATTTAGCCTTGGATGGAGTTTACCACCCACTTTGGGCTGCATTCCCAAACAACCCGACTCGAAGGTCGACCTGGTGAATTGCCTCACATGTCTGAACCTCCACTCGCACGGGCCTTTCACCCTCTCTGGGCCAAATCCAGGGAACCATACTCAGTGCTGGACTTCGAGTGGAGTGGCAATCCCGCGAGTCGACCCAAACACCACATTGCCTAGCAGTAAACCTACCGCAGGCTTCGGTGCTGGGCTATTCCCTCTTCACTCGCCGTTACTAGGGGAATCCTGGTTAGTTTCTTTTCCTCCGCTTAGTGATATGCTTAAGTTCAGCGGGTATTCACGACTGATCCGAGGTCAGGCAAAGAAGAAGAAGAAGCAGTAGTTGCTGCCGCTGCCATCATCATTCTACCATCATCATCATCATCACCACCACCACTACCACCATATGTTGTTAGTGCTCGCACGGCGTGCTACACACACACACACACAGACACACACACTGAGCCACGGCCAGTGCGCACCGGCGCCCCCACAGAAACAATGGACGCAGGCTAACACAAACACGCACTAACAAACAGGCAGGAGATGATGAGGAGAAACCACCGCAGACAACCAAGACGAAGATGACAACGGAGGCAACTCGCTTAAATGCCATAAAGGCCACATTAAAAAGGAGCCATTGCAGTCTGGCTCACGGTCCGCCACCGCCACAGCACACACACCCACCCACAGACCATGGTGCTAGTGCTGACCCAAGAAGAGGAGGAGGAAGACCGAGATATCCCGCCAGTTGGCAACCTTCCAAGCCACGGCTTTTAGCGCACCGTGATAGTTTATAAGCCGACCCTCGGCCAGACGTGGCCGTAGGCAAGCCTACGGCCGCAATGTGCGTTCAAGACGTCGATGTTCAAAGCAGTCTGCGATTCACATTAATTCACACAGTTGGCTGCGCTCTTCATCGACACACGAGCCGAGTGATCCACCGCATAGAGTTGTACTTTCAACCGACATGACTGCTGCCGGCTGTTTTATTTGGCGCACTAGAACTTGGGCCAGTAGTGACTGACCAACAAGGGGTGCACCGCCGCGCTCCACTATGCAGCAGAGCATGGCTAAGGACAGCATGGGAGATCCACGCCCATAGGGTGTAAAACACAACAGCACAAAACAACTGACACATGGTGGGGCGCCGAGATCGCATTCATTCATACCAGCAGCACATGCGACCTCGGGTCTTACGCCTCGCACACGCACAAGGAGCATCTGCACACAACACATACACACTGGCAGCGGCGCAACCTTGTACGTCCACTATCCTGTCACCCCGGTATTAACTGGCAACCTCCAACCCCATCGCCGTCCTCCTTTACACACACACACACAGTGCGCAGTGGCGGTACGTAGTCAGTGACTTGCGCTGCATCTACCTACACTCTCTCCTCCTCCCCCGCCTGAGTCCGGTGTCAAGACAGAGTCAAGAAGACCGGAGACGAGGGAGGCCGCAGGTGGATGGCTCGGACGGATCCTCATCTTGGCGTTCCACCACACCCCCTGGTCCACACAACAAATAACCAGGATTTCAACCAACACAACAGAGATTTGGAGGCTGACACGACCGAAGCCGCACCTGGACGTGTCGCCAACGCCTGGCTCGGATCCCACACTGTGGTGAGAGTGCCATAAAGGCCACATTAAAAAGGAACCATTGCAGCCTGACTCTCAGACCGCCTCCAGTGAAGGAAGAGGTCCAAGGTACCCCGTCAGTTGGCAACCTTCCAAGCCACGGCTTTTAGCGCACCGTGATAGCTTCAAGCGCGTCAGATTGTTTATAGTGAGGGGGAAGCGCGCTGAGTCGTCGACCTCACTCTCCCTTCCCACTCCCACACCCCAGCAGCTGTCCGAGCCGGTCAGCAGACTGGAGTGGGGAGTGGGCGCGGTGGCTGCCATGGTCGATAGACCATGACTGCGCGCGCCACAGCACGACCTGGCCCCCCATACACACAAACACCAGGATTTCACACGACGGGGGTTGAACGGCGTGTCTCTCACTTGCGTGAGAGTGCCGTGGAAGGTGCTGTTGCAGCCCGTCCCCGGCCCACCAGTCCGCCACTACACACAACACACACACACAACGTGACGAACTGCGTGAACCGAGAGCGGGCGTCAATCAGCAGCCTTCCTATCCACGACACCTGACGTGTCGGGATAGTCTCGGACGCAATTCACTCGTGCAGCCGAAGTCGCATGGGGACCGAGTCGAGATGCACACTTCCCACTTGCGTGGGAGGCGGCAGTTGAATGCATGAGGTGTGTGAGGGTTGATGTCTGGTAGGGTGATGGTGTTAGGAGGTAGGGTGTGAGGGAATGTGTGGTGTGACCGGCGGTTGTCTACCGCAGGTCGTCGTGGATGCGCATGTGGCCGAATAGACCCATGCGATGCGTGAAGGTGCGAGGGCAGTGTGGGCAGTGGAGGCGAGTGCGGTGGGTGTAGGTTGGTGCTCCAGGCACTGGTTCGCCAGTCTCTGTGCGATGGATTCGCAAGTGACCGACCAGGCCGATGCGTGAAGTGAAGGTGCGATCGCAGTGAGGGCAGATGTAGTCCTGGCCCTCACCTCTGATGATGGAGGTTGCAGGGGTTGTGTTTGTTGTCGTGTCAGGTGCGGCTGTGGTGAAGTCGTGCGCTACAGACGCCGGAGTGGCCGTCGTTGTGGCAGTGAAGGAGGAAGAGGAAGAGGACGGGGCGGAGTGAGGGGTGGTAGAGTCGGTGACGTCGATGTCGGTGGGGGAGTGGTTGGTGGGTGCTCAAGTAGGTGAATTGGGAGTTGGGCTCGGCGTGTTGGTTGTGTCAAGGCTGCGGTCAATTTCGCTCTCTTGGATGCGCATGTGGCCGAATAGACCCATGCGGGGAGTGAAGGTGCGAGGGCAGTGTGGGCAGTGGATGCGAGTGCGGTGGGTGTAGGTTGGTGCTCCAGGCACTGGTTCGCCAGTCTCTGTGCGATGGATTCGGAAGTGACCGACCAAGCCGATGCGTGAGGTGAAGTTGCGATCGCAGTGATGGCAGGCGTAGTCCTGATCCTCATCACTGGAATCGGGAGAGGTGGGGGTGGTGTCGGTTGTTGTGTCGGGGTTGATGTGCGAGACGGCCGACTGAGCGGCCGCCGCTGGGGCAGTGGGGGAGGAGGAGCAGGAGGAGGAGGATGGAAGTGGTGGTTCAGTGGAATAATCAGAGTTAGTTGGCGACGACGGGTAGGCAGAGGCGGGCGTGGGGAGGATGGTTGGTGCAGATCGAGAGGCGCAGTTGGTCCGAAGATGTCCAACAATTCGGATTCGAGCCCGAAATGTCCGTTGACATCGAGGACACGTTGGAAGCGGTTGTGCGGCGGCGTAACTTACTGGGCGAAGTTGTGATTTGCGGGCTTCGCGCTTCGCCTTTGCGGCCGCTATGCTATTGGCTTCGTAGATCGCAGCGCCTGTCTTCACTGTCCTCCTCCAGGTCGGTCGATCGAGTGCGAGCTCTTCCCAGTTGGTCGGGTTGATTAGCAGGCGCTTCAGGGAGGACTTCAGGGTATCCTTGTAGCGGCGAATCTGGCCTCCTTGACGGGGAGAACCCGTCGCGACGTCTCCGTAGAAGAGTCGTTTGGGTAGTCGCTCGTCGTCCATGCGCACCAGATGGCCGCTCCAGCGCAGCTGCATTTGTCTCAACATGGAGTAGATGCTGAGCATTCCCGTATGTTCTACCACATCAGTGTCGGGGATGCGATCATGCCAGTTTAGCCTCAGGATGCGACAAAGACAGCTGAAATGGAACTGATTCAGTCGGCGTGCCTGCCTCGTGTACACCGTCCAAGTCTCTGCTCCACACAGTAGCGTCGGCAGGATGACGGCCTTTTACATCTTCAGCTTCGTGCTCAGTTGGAGATCATGACGATTCCAAACTGTGCTTTGGAGGCGACCGAAGGCTTGACTGGCTTTCGAGATCCTGTTGGCGACTTCGTCATCGATCTTGATGTTGCGCGAGAGGGTACTGCCCAGGTACGGGAAGTTCGCCACCACTTGCAGTTGCGTTCCGTTCACGCTGATTTGAGGCGGCGGCGCGTTGGGGGCTGTGGCTGAGTTGGGTGGCGGTTGGTGCATCACCACTGTCTTCTGCGTGTTAATGACCAGCCCAAAGTTCTCGCAGGCGGCGGAGAACAGGTCCATGCTCCGCTGCATCTCCTCTTCCGAGGTGGTGTTCAGGGCGCAGTCGTCGGCGAAGAGAAGTTCGTGGACGGTGGTTGTAGATACGTGCGATTGGAAGTTTATGCGCCCTTGATTCAGCAGACGACCGTCCGTTCTGTAGGCGATGCGGATCCCGGGACGTTCATCGCGGGAGGCGTCCATCAGCATGGCGGTGAACAATTTAATTATCCGTAATATACCCCACACCGTTAATCCGACGCCATCAATTCAAAATTTTATACATTCGTGTGGCTTAAATATCAGAGTAGCTAACACTAAAAGACTTCACTCCAGAAGCAAAAACAAACCCCTCTTAGTAACCTTCTACTCACAGGCGGAAGCTGAGATTGTCCTACAAAATCCCGAAGTAAATAGAAATCTGCGGAACCTAAACTAGTTTATAGGTCCAGATTTGACACCTATGCAAATACGTCAACTTCGGGAAAAAGACACCAGCTACAAATACGATAATCAGCACTCCGGTCTCTCAACTGAAACTTTAGCCAATAATTCTACTTCTAGCACTAATAAAAAGAAATACACAGGCCAGCGTAAACCAAATGATAAACCCACAGCCCCCGCAGAAGGACCTCCAGCAAGCACGTCTGACTCTAGTTCTCATGATAAAAAACGCGCAACTGCAAAAGTATTTAGGACTGCTGGTCAGAAACAAACGAAGGAGGCACAACAAAATAACAACGTTCAACCAGAACAGAACGATGATGCAGAACCCGTACCGAGTCATGTGATACCCTTAGATAGCAGTATAAGTTTTACTACATTCCCCAAGACCGATCAATCAGTACGAGAAAACGACTGCCAAACAAGACACATAAACCTAAATGCCTTGCTAAGCACACCAACACAACCAAAACGCCCTAGGTATGTTGAACTAACAAACAGAAGCCCACCAAACTCTAATTAAAAACAAACAACCTTCTATAATGGCATCTCGACTCCCCAAAATCCACCTGCATGGCATAGGAATAAGCCAAACCACTCTAGCATTCCAAACTCCTTACCACCTAATTACAACCCTACAAATTACTTTGGCTTTTACACCTCCCCAACTGAAACACCATTTAGATACAATTACCACCTAGTTAACGCACCTCCCCATATGTACCCTCAGT